TGATGAACTCCCCACTTGGACTAGAAGCCAATGATTACAAAGCTCCTTTTACTCCCCCTTTGGTGTGGAGACAGCTTCCTACACACTGTCTCCTAGACAGGTTTCTAGGACAAAACCCACATTTGCTGTGCGTACTTACCCAGCAGCTCAATTTCTGCCGAAGGCTATGAAAGTCTTCCACAAAGTGTATTTCCTTGCAAACTTGCAATTGGAGTTGACCAAAAACATCTTCCATGAAGAAGGACAGAAGCTGTTCTTGGAATCGGCAGTTTTTCTACAAATAATGTACAAGAAATTGCATAAGGTAAACCATGCATTTTTTTTAAAAAGTCACTGAAATATGCCCTGATCATTAGTTCATGACCATCTGGAAAAAATTAAAATGCAGGGGAAAAAAGCATCAAACAAGTAGGGATGTGAAAAAGAAAAAGACTTTCTGACTTACCATAAATAGCTTTTTTGTTTTCTTGTTTAATAATCGTATATTTTTTATGCGGTCTTCCTACAATAAAACAAAGAGAAATAAGTTGCATCCAGGATTACAAATGTGCTTTAGGTCATCATTTTAATCAGAGCCTAATACTTACTGGAATCGTTGCTTTGAGCCATGCTGCCTTGATGTAGAGGGTGTCAACAGCTTGGGACAGTATTCCCCTTGGGTAACAACTTTTGGTGAAGGAAGATTGCTTGTGCTTGGCAATGGCAAGAGACAGAGTGACAAACAGCAACCCAGACCTCAAAATACAATTCACCAACATTTCCCTCCACCCCGCTCTGGGCTCATGCCACTCACAGCGGCCTGGGAGATACGAGTGCTGGTTAGACGAGAGGGTAACCTACTTACTTCAGCCCTCAAAGCCGCCAGTCCAATGAGATGCTGTCAAAGATAACATACAGTTCATGTAGAGGAAGATCACTTTGGCTGTTCTATTTTTTTAGAGCTTGCTTCATAATCAAAAAAGGTTGACCACAGCATCTGTGACGTTATATAAAAGCACAAGCTTACTGGTAAGATGTTTCAAAAAAATTCAGAACTTTAGTTGTATATCACAGCAGATTTCATTATTTTAAAAGCCATGCCATGCGAATACAGAAAAGGATGATTTCCAGGAGGCTGTGT